ATACATTTTAGGCATCATGAGGATGTTTTTGCCCAAGACATAATGAGAACCAGGATAAGGTATTTAAGTTCAAAAGGACTTTGAATCATGATTTCTTTTGTTTCATAGGTTTCATAGACAATTAGGCAGTGTCATGACTTTATAAATTTTATTTTTTTAAAACTGCCTTTGGACCTTACAGTATAACCAGGCAGTTATATCTAAATTCTATATGATATTTTCATTATAACCTGCACGCAGCTGACAAATTAAGCTTAGGTTGATGTGGAACGTCACCAATTTTCTTAAATTATTAGCTTCAAACAGCGTCACAAGCTGAGAATTTAGAAAAGGTGGGAGGGTTTATAGCATGCATGGCTAATACAGCTTGTGCAGGGATTTTAATAGAGGAAACATCCTCCTTACAACTCTGAGGCATATACAAGCTGACATAAAGCATTAAAAGTTTCTTTGCACGTTTTCGACCTCAGCCCCCAGACTGAGGACTTTCAGCTGGGAGGACACAGTGAGTAATAGAGGAGTAGCAGCAGCTAGATCTAGACATCTCCATTCTTCCTAAAATATCCTCTCTGCTCTGTTTTTTTTTTTTTTTTTTTCCTCAGGAAGTAAGATATTATATTTTGAACCATCTAATTACTCCCGGTCCCTTCTTAGGAATGTCTGAAGAATCCTGATTTGGACGAGTTAGATGTGATAGAGAAATCCATTTGAGATATTTGCAACCCAAGGTTGGAGATGACAGACATGACATCACTGCTAAGGCTCACAGTCATGAGATTTTAATATTGCAGTGATGTCATGCTGCAAAAAGCCGTAACCTCAGTTCTGGCCTTTTTTGGAATGCCTCTTTATACGATACTGCAGATTGTAGCACTAGTGCGACATATTTAAAACCACTAACCCAAGTGTGTGTTGAAAAGGGATTGGGGGTGGTTTGGGAGTGGGATCTGATGTAATGAATATTATTTCTCATGAAATACTTTCCTGTTATCATCTGTTTTAAACAGTAATGTACTTTGGAATATCTAGCTTTTGATCTCAATGCAATGACTCTAAGTGTGTTTATAGAGAACTGCAGTTCATTTTAAGTGTTCTTTAAATGTTCTAAGCCATCCACAAATTAGTACTTTTCTTTTGTAATATACAATAAATACACAGCTAAAAATATTTCCGGTTTTGGCCAGTTAAAAGAGGCTCAAGGGGACATTTTTTGCAAATAGATCCTTACTTTGACAGATTATGAGTTTGTCTGCTGCTAGTCCAAGAGAATAAATAGTGTTAAGTGTTTAGGAATAATCACAATATACCCAATAAAAAAATAAATAAAAAAATCCAAATGACTGCGAAATAATTTGAATTTTAAAAGGAAGACAGTTTTACTTTGGTCCTTATCCTAGAGCTTTTTCTCTAATCAATAAGTATGATTTTAGTTTATTTTAATTATTTTTATGCAGTCTGTTCTGCTTTCACCTGGACAATTTAAAAAATGTTCCCCACATCTGATTGGATGTGGATCATCTATTGTCTGCAAAGCCTTTCCTGTTTTTTATCATGTGGGAAAGAAAACAAAAGAGAGCATTAAAAAGGCAGCCTGACAGAGAAGGACAAACAGAAGAATAAAAGCATTAAGTGAAAGTGTCAGGAAGAGATAAAAAGACAGTAAAGGCTGGCAGACAAGCAAAGAATAGAACACCAGAAAACCTTTAGACCTACCCGGCAAAGACAGGTTAAAAAAGGGATGCTGAGTGTAAAAGGAACTAAAAGATAAAACAGATTTGTCTATTTTTTCCAGACCTTAGACCTTGTATCTTCCTTTCTTCCAATGGTTTTTTTGTAGTTCTGTTGCTTAACTCGACTATTTCTATTTATTGTTTGTTTTGGACTGTGCTCTAATAATTATGCCTTGTCCCATAATTTGTGAAAAGGGCTGTTTTCGTTTCATGGAGAGTGAGGTAAAAGAAAGTAAGGGAGTCTATATCAGTCCAAAGAGATCAGTGTAGTACGTATGTCATTACATAAGTATAAGTAATTTTCTGGCACTAGCATCTGTATATTATTTGCGTAAATATATTGCAGTTGCACACATTATATAGTATGGGTTGCATCTCTCTGTTAGAAGGTTATATTTGAAGGAATTTTCCAACATTCTCCATTAGAGTAGGTAAGACTGCATTCTTTCCCTTGAAAACCTTGTTCTATTTTTGAATTAACTACTTTGACGCTGGTATTCTTGCAGCGGGGCAGAAACGGCAGAAGTTGCTTGTGGTATTTGAGGAGAAAAAACTCTAGTGTTCCAGAAATAAACACCAAACCTGTTTTAGAACCTCATCAGTCCAGCTCAGTTTCTTTCTCCCTCATCACGTGAATCGATGCTTGCTGTCCAGTTACTGATGAGCTGTTTATCTCTTAGATTTGTTGTCTTTTTTTTCCATTTAACTGAACTCATTGTATTTAAATCATGATACAGTAAAACAGGAGTAACCAAAAATTTCTGAGTCATACTCAAATTTTTTCTATAAATTATTATCTGGTTGCTATAGCGATGCTGTGTGAGTGTTGTTTCAATTGAAACTGAAGGCTGATTGTTAAATTATTATTGTAATTATTTGTTAATTATTTGTGATTATTTGTTAAATAGCGCAGTATTTAGAGAGTGCTCTGAATTGCCGTCAGAGGACTCAGAAAGCTTATGTTTTACCCACATGTAAAAATGTATTCTTAATTTGAAATAATTCACCCAATTTTTTTTTTTTTAGTTATGGAAATTTTCTTTTACTCACTACTGGTTGTAGCTGGGCTCCTGGAATCATGACATTAGCGAGCTGCATCTGTTGCGCCAACATGGCCATGTTTTTCTGCTGGATGAGGTTGTTCCTTCCATTGATCTCCAGCTGTGTCTTTAGGTGGGCAGGTGGGTGCAGGTACTTGCAATTCTCTCTAGAACAGCGTCCCTGGTGGGTTGGCACAGAGGAACAAGGTAGCAGGAGAAGACAAAGGAAAAGTGATTAACAGGATCCAGACCAATAAATTGCTGGCTGTCTTGGTAAGTGCTGCTTATCAGATAGAAAGACCTTGATCGAAGTTTTTGCCCACTATCCACCTGATATTTGGACCTACCTTGTCATCAGAAAACAAATCAGTGCTTACTTTGTTCTATTTTTGAGACCTGTTTCTTAAAAGGATATTTTGACAAATCCAAGATAAGAGATAAAGCCCTGCATAATCTAGTGTGAAAACTGTATTGTGGCGTTATAGTAATATAACTGTGGGAGCCAGCATTGTAACAGGTGCAGATCTTAAAGCAGATAGATTTAAATAACTTTTTTCTCTTGGCATTCAGTCCCTCTGTGGTGTAGTGCTCTGTAGTAAGTATTTCACTTGAATGTGAAAGATGTGGGATTGAATCCAGGATACATCCTACAGTATGGCATAGGGCATAAGAACTTTTTCATGGATATGGAATATGGTAACAGAAGACATTACAGCAGGCCAAGATTAAATATAAAAAAAAAATTATTTACTTCTAATATCTAGAAAAAATATTGACTTTGATCTAAAAATAACATGTACTGATGACTTGTAAGGTGCCTGCACACACATTTAATCCCCTTATTTATGTTGGGTGTTAAAAAGGCTAATATGTCTGCCCCTTGGGGGTGTCTCACCTTCCCCAGAACTCAGAACTCAGTTAACAAACACACCTCCATTTGCTCTAGAGAAGATCTTTACCTTAATGTGTGTGCAGTCCAGCACACCCATAGCAAATGTAGTCCACCTGTTCTAAAGTTTCTTGTGGTAAGAAGACATCGGTAACAGATGTTTCTGTTTTCGTGAAACCGAGTTGAGGTTTGATTAAACCAGGATGTCTTGAAAATCCAAGCTTAATTCCTTATCTTAAAGTTGTGAAACAGGCTTCTGCACTCAATGGAAAAAATAGAAATCTAGATAAGTCATTTTTTCTTAAAATAAGTACATTTGTTCTTGGATTGAGGAGGTAAAAGAGACATTTTGCCAACGGAACAAGACAATTTACACTTAAAATTAGAAAATACGATTGCATTGTCTTATTTGAAGTGTATGCTATCTGATGTTCTTACTTTAAGAGTAAAAATAATCATTCTATTGGCAAACTAGCTCATTTACAAACTCAAATTAAGGGTAAATATACTTAATATAAGTAATTTTTACTTATTTTTAGATCGTTTTTCCAGTGCAGAGCCATTGGCTACCACAGCAATTTATGCAAATCACTACTAGGAGAGAGAGTAACAGGCCTAAATTACTGCTCTGTCTGCTTTTGCTATGAAAATCTATCATGCAAAAAAAAAAAAGGGACTTTAAATGGCTCCAGAAACCCTGTAATACTTTTATTGTTTTATTTTTTATTTATGTAGAGTATTCATAGCCACACAACACTTACTTCTCTATCTTAATAGTAGATATTATTTGGGGAAAAAAAGCACAATAGCTCTTAAACATTTTTTATTCTCTTGAATTAAAGTTAGAAATATCAATCAAATTTTACAGATATTTTGTTGGACCAGCAAGAAGTATTACATAATTGCAAAGTGGGGAGAAATTTGCATCTTACTTTTCTTTTTACGGGGAAAAACCCTTAAAGCATGCCATGCATGTTCATCTCAACCAGACTGAATTAGACGGAGTGTAATTCTGTCTGGTAAACTGCTGTCGACTCTGGCCAGATCTGGCTGGACCAATCACAGCCCAGGAGGCAGGATTCTATGATGCATCACTCTCAGCAATTTTCTGCTAGCATTACAGAAAGATGGTAACTACAAAGGAGCAACATTTTAATGATGCCCCTTCTGTATCCTAAGTAAGATTGATATTACTTTAAAACCTCAGTAAGAGACAACTTTAGTGTGATTTCTTTTAAGAAGGAAGTTTTTGCTATTTTTGGCTTGATTCACATCCCAGATTATAAGATTACAAAAACAGCATGGTTGCTTGGAGTTTTGGCGTCACATCTGTAGCTACCTGATTGGTTCTCACCTGCAAAGTAGCTGAATCTCATTCAGACTGAATGCAAACTATCTACCAACAGCTATTTTCTAATCTTGCCAAATATTCTGAGTTGGATTAAGCTCTTCTAGTTAATTTATGTCAGAGTAGAGTCGCTTTTCCAAAATTTTGCTCCATTTACTTTCTCTTTTATTCTACAGTTTCTCTGTCCTTATAAAGCAAAGACATTTTTGTAGCATGGTGCTCCCACCACCATATTATCCTGTAAAGATGCCATGCTCTTGATGATGTAAAGTCTTATTTTTCTACTTGAACTTGTATATGCAAAAAAATGTATCTTGTTTTCATTTGTCAAAACCTATTGTTCTATATGTTTGGTATGTCCCCTGTATGGCTTATTGTAAAATTTAAATGGGATTTTTAATGACTGCTGTTTAAGATATTGCTGTTGCTACTTATTTGTAATGGCTAAATAAAGCCGCACAACGGATTTTGGCCTCGCAACAGAGGGTTGATTGAAATTCAAAAGAAAACAATTTTAATAATGTCATGTTGCAATCGTCCTTTGCTTAACCACCTTTGAGACTGTCAAACTAGATGCCGGATGTATTACAAAGCTCCATAAATGACCATCGATTACCTCCCGAATTACCCAAATGAGTTATGTGTCAATATTTGAGATCATTGCAGAAAAGAACAGGCTGGATCGATACATAACTGAAGCCCTTTGTGAAAGTGGCAGACGAAAACACACAAAACAGCAGTCTAACATTATTCCAGTGTCTATAGACAAAGCAGAGTATGTGTGTGTGCCAGGGTGCTCACTGTTGTGGGTGATTATATTCATCCAGCAGCCTAGGAGAACATAGAGAGTGTAATTTACACTCTCATAATACCTGTTCTTTCAAATACTCCCCCAGATAGGTGTAATATCTTAGATGTCTCCTCTTCTTTTTATCCGTCGTACTCTCCCTCTGTTTTTTATTGTTCCATTCTTTCTGCTTCAAACAAATCAATATTCTGAGTCCTGATATTTACTCTCCTCCTTATGACTACAGATCAGTGAAACTGCAGTGCTGCTGTAATCCATTCGGCAAATATGAAAAAGGTGCCGGGGTGCTACTATGGTCCGTTCTTCCTGTAGCAATTTCTTTAGATTGAACTCACCAGCATTTGCAAGCAATACTGTTTTCTAATAAAAAAATATTTCTGAAAAGGATCCGAGGTCAGCCCGGTGACAACACCACAGTGCCACCTCTCATGAGGAATAAGGGATGTACCCTTCATGCAGCTGCTTATCTTGGTGAGATTAACTGCAACTTACTGAAACCCACTATAACAACTGCTTTCAAAACACATCCACTCCAACTCCTCTTTTATTCCATATACTTCTCTTTCCTCCTGCATTCTGTTCCATTTCAATCTTTCTTATCTGCACTTACAATTTCTATGTGCTGCATATTCTGCCTAGCTACAGCTGCACAGAGACTTTCGTATTGGAGAACAGCTGTTTGTCAAGGGTTCTATCAACGTTTTCATTGGCTGGGAACTGAGAGGCACAATATTCCCAGCCTGCCTCCTAGCCTCGAGGCACACATTAACAGAGCCAAGCATGGCTCATCCCTGTGTGCCTCTGACTATTGATCAGAGGTAATTGGTAAATGTCTTTTGATTTTCAGAGTACATTCCCTCTGGCTGACTACACTTAAGCATGTCATCTCCTGAATGTGTTTGTCTGTGGGTATCTAGGCACAACTTACTGTTACATAAAAGTCCTCCATGCGCATTCGTAAGCTCCATTTAGCAAGTTAAAACAAAACTTTTTTGTAAAGGCATGATAGAAACAACCACTCCAAGAACATTCTGTAATGTAACTCATCAGTCTATGTATTAAAATTTAGTGCAAAGATAGACAAAATGATACATATATCTATATTAAATATATATACATATATGAGACAGAGAGAATCATGAAAGGTTTTATTAATGGAGTTATGTGAAATATTATGCTTTGTCTTAAAGCAATAAAAGAAAAAAAACTAGATAAATTAATTAGATAAAATCATATTAATTAAAAAATGTTGACAGCACACTTACTGGATATTGTTAAAACATATGTTCTTATACCAAACTCATTAAAATCTGTTTACTGTATGTATCAAAGCCGACCAAAAGTAAAGGGAGAATTTCATGTTTCAGCTCATTTCTCTCTTCACCAGTCACCAAACAATGACTTCCAAAAAGATTTTTAGATTTTGATGTATAAAGCCACAGGACATATTTCTTATGAAAGAGTCATTATTCACCGCTTAGAGCATAGCAGTGTTGAAGTTATAATGTCTTTAAATGTCTCCTCTCTCCGCTGTTGATTTTTTAGGTACAATGACATCCATCATTGTTTAACGCAGAAAGTGCAGTCATTTTCCAAATTCTGCCTGGAGTGTAGCCTAAATGCTTGATCATATCCTTTTGATGACAGCCTTCAGCCTTATCTTAGGCAAGTAGAAAGTAATATATTTATAGCAAGATTATTTTTTTCAGTTTTACAGAACTTTTCAGCCTATGGTCCCGAAGGACTATTAAACTTGTTCCAACTGCTGGCATAAAACATGAAACACATACTGTGTGGGTTATACGAAATTATGCAATTCTAAACATGTGTTGTTCATGTGTCATCTTTAGATCTGACAGTAACAAGAAATAACAGTAACAGGAAAAGTCATATTAAACTAAAAATCTTGGTTCTGCTTGTCCTTTTTTGCAGGTATAGGATTTTTGCTAGTTCATGAACATTTTGATCAGAATGTTATTGATCTTTAAATTGTCTTTCTGTTTCAACTATCATGTGTTGCAGGGCTTCTGTCTGAGAATACATTCACACATAAGCTTAAGGTTTATGACAATTACTGCCAGTGATGGAAATGTCCAGGCATTTGTCTCTCCTTTTCTTGTACCTGTCCAACTATTT